ACTGTAATATTGTTTTCTTTTCCCTCTAAGGTTGAGAAAAAGTCACGTTATGAATATTCATTTCCCTTGTAAAGTCAAGGACAGCAAAACCATAAACCTGTTCATTTTATGGGTCTGTCTTCTATTTTATCCAAATATATTTTATTGGGAAAGGGGTGACCATTTTGTCACACACTATTCACAAACGTGGAACTGCTTAAAATTTTTCACACTGTAATAATATCAAACATTTCTCAGAAATGGTCTGTGCTAATCAGTCTCAACATACCACAAACTCAGGGTTTACTATAACTTGATCTTGCTCTTTAGACAGTTTTGCCAACCAGTTCACCATTATCCCAGACACGAGCGCTCTAGGTATTAACTTTTTCAAATTATCTTTTTATTATTCTTCTTTGGGACGTGCCTAAACATCTTTTCCTCCTCCTCTCTTTAAGTCTCCCCTAAATTTACATTTGACCATCTCTCCGTATCGGCACAAAAGTCTGGGGGTGCTTATGTGGAAATTTAAGCACATCACATGTCATCTGGGCATGTAAAAATCTGTATTACACTGACTTTCTGCTATCAGGACTGGCATTAACCTTTCTGCTCAACATTACCAAAAAATCCAAATGTGCCACAGAACGTCTATAAACACAACAACCTCATACACATTTATCCCCTCCAACAAAAGCAGCAGATAATTTTTCTGAGGGGGGGGGAAATCTCAAAATCAAACCTGTTTTTCTCCTGTATCGCCTTTAACCTCGTAAGTGTGAATCCCTCACATCTAAACAAAAATACTACATGTAGTGATGGGAGTGTGGAAAACTCCTTTGGAACGAGACTGCTCCTCCTTCAAACCTCTTAGGAAGACACAGTCCCCATGGCACGGTGTGCATGGAGGAAGACAAAGATAAAATTTCCCCTTCATCCATCTTTCACTGTTATGGCTTTTAATTGTTTGGACAGGGTACATTAAAAAAAAAAAATCTTATTTTTATCCTCTCTTATGGTATACTTTCCTTACATAGTGGGTCCTCTGAGCTAAAACACATCACTCACATTATATAGCACCAAATCTGATCACAACAGAGACCTGTGAAGAGTCTCCAATAAAACCACAAGCACATCCCCTTTTATACCCCAAGAGTCGTTTAGTTCCTTGATGAGAAAATTTCCATTAAGCCAAAAAGAAAACCATTTATGGCTCAGCCCTAAAAGGCTGCACAGCCCCCCCCAAACTGAGAGCAAACACTTTGCATTAACTTAGTCTCAAACACACATATGCTGAAAAAATAAAGTGTTTTTTCCTATTCTACGGACCGAACCGAATTCGGTTTAATTGTGCCACTTCCAGGGAGCAGAGTTGGTTTAAAGGCAGGATTGTTTCTTCTTTGCCTGCCCAAGAGCTGAGCTGAACGGGAGAAATGCTGAGAGCTGAGCAAATCCACTGTGGCACTGGGCTGTAATTGTACACAGGGATACAAACAGCAGGAAGAGAAACTCTATTTACCCTGTTTGGCCAGACCTGGCATTCACTTGGATCTCCACAGTTTAACTTTTACTTGAAAATTACAGTGAAGTTTTGGTTTTTTTTTTTAAATAGAATAGCGAACTCCCTTCTTAAAATAAAAATATTTCGTATTTTTCACGCTCAATATTTTTCCTTTAAGCTTTAGTTATGAATGTGCTGTTTCTGCAAGGCAACATCGTTCCTCCAAACACACGAGGCTCCAATTTCACTTTTAAGTGTTTGCAACATTAAGCCCCTAAAAGCTAAGGGTGCTAACACAATGCACTTATTTTATAAAAATCAAGACAAAGGAATCTTGAACAGATGGAAGAAAGCTTCCTCAAAATACAGATCCAACCTCCCTTTACTTCCAAATAAATATATTCACATTATTTTTAAAGGTAAGTTTTGACAACCTTGTTGATTAGTGCAATTCATGTGGCAGCATTTGCTTTTCCCTAGCTCTCTACTGCATACTGAAAATAAGGCAATTAAATGAGAAAATTAATTCCATTAATTAAAAATGTTCAGTCTCAAGCAAGACAGAACGATCTGAGTGAGAATTACAGCTGTATAAATGTACATAAACCAAAATGTTTTCCTTGACATGTACTTTCCTTTAGGAAGGATAAATTTTTGCAGCACAAAGCAATGATAATGCTATTTTAACAGCATCATAAAGCTGGAGAAAGATATATAAAAAGTCTGGTTTATCCTTTAAAGAGAAAACCCCTGATGTATATAGGAAAATTTACAAGTAAAATACCACCCTTCCCACAAATTCCTTACTGGTGAGCCTGAGTGAAAACTCTGGTCAAGTCAGGAAAGAAAATCATTAAACTTAGCTGAATCCATAAAGCACCGTGGCTGGAGTTTCAATACAGATCATTTTATAGTAAAATTAAAATAGAAGCCCTTTTTAATTATATAAAGTGTGCACATTATTACTGAGGAGAGAAATACACGCTTTCCTCAAGAACCATAAAATTGGCTGCTGGGAATTAGACTTCAGCTGCAATTATTATATGGTCCTATAAAGGATATTGAAAGTCTGATAAAATTGCACCCTTGTCATGTAACAGCGATGCTTAATGCTAAATAACCACTCTGCAGCATTCCAGGCATAGCTTTCTCCAAACATCACAGCTCCCTCCTCACACCGAAAAGAAAACAGAGCAGGACTGGGGAGCTAAAAGTATACCTAAATATTTGAAATACCTAAATGAACAGGTCAAAAGATATGTAAAGCCACACAGAGGCAAAACAGCACATGTGATAAATCAGTACTGGTGGTTGCTCATCAAGGAGAGCACTCCAGGGATACTGCCCAAGCCTCCATGGATATCTACCCAAGCCTTCAGGGATACTACTCCATGCAAGAGACTACCTGGGATGAGAGGGGAAACAAAAAAGAGCAACGCAGTGGAGCAAGTGCTGAGGTGCATGTGCCTCACTCGGCCTCACCAGGCCGTGACAAAGAGCAGTGCCACACATTCCTCGTGTCTGCTTCCCTTCTGCTTGCAGGGCGTGTTGTAAACAGGGAGTATTTGCTGCGCCTGCACTCAGCTACGGGAGACTGGCTGGGCTTCTCCTGAGGACCTGGAGTTTGCACTCTCGGGCCCTGTAAATAGAGCACGGGACTAAAACCTGGAGGGATTTCTCGTCCCACAGACTCCACTGCACTCACAGCTCAGCCAGGCTGCCATTTTTATGTGCGTTAAGAACATCAAAGAAACACTTTAGTGACACAAAACACAAGGCACATGGCTGTGGGGTGAAGAAGCAGGGCTGCGAATTTTGCTCCTGCCGGTGAAGGAAAAGAGAAAATCCTTTCTCCTACAAAGGAGTCCTGACAAAAAGTCCCTCACCACTTGGATCCCACAGCATGGGTGGGATATACATCCCTCCTTCTCTGAAAGGCTTGGGTCTGACCTGCTGTTCAAATCCCAGCACCTGTGTCAGTGCCAGGCTTCACAAAGAAGCCCCTGCACAAGAGCACACGAAGGATCCCACACAGCTCTTGTTTGACACGACTACTCAGTCGTGAAAAGAAACAGACCGTTCGAAATCAAACCTACTCAGCTCCCAAATTACAGCAGGAAGCAGCGCCCAGTCTTAGTACAGAGATGGAAGGGCTGCAGTGTCTCTCTCCAGCACTGAGTGCTGGACTCACAGGCTGCAGGAACGCTGGATTTGGGTTTCCATGCCATGCCCACACTGCTCGTGCCAGACAAACTGCCCACACCCTGTACGTGATGTGCAGATCCTCTCCGAGTTATCCGCCTCCTCCCACGGCATGAGCAGGTGGGCAAAGGGAACTGTTCAGCGTTCAGTGGAACGTTACTGACACTCTGAGCAGGAAATAAGTAAAGGAAAACCTCACAGACCATGGCTGATTAACCTAAAAAACATTTCCAAGGCAGCTGTAGGCTAGGAAGGGCATGGTGAGTCCCTGCATCTCTATAAAGGGACTGGCCACCGAGCACTGCTCAACTATGAATGTGTGTCTTAGTTTAAGGAAAGTATAAAAAAAAATACGTATTTTAGCTCAGACTGAGCATCTGAAAACACTGACCTTTTAACCAGGTAATCTATAAACCAGCACATTAAAAAATTAATTTTTATTCAAAGTGTGCATGAAATGTGCTCCTTAAAAGGTAAAGCCAGTAAAGACCAGGGTGCACTTTGCAATGAGGCCTTAAAAACCCTTATAGGCCCTTAAAAGTATTAACTTCTCCTCAAAACCTCTCTTGAGGTATTTTCAATATTATATATAATGTGAATGTTTTATAAAAGTATAAAATGACACACATACTGTCATGTGCCCACAGCTCAGTCAGGCCAAGATGTGGCAGAGGAGACTTGGACTCCTCACTCCCTCTCAGCTGTGGGTACAGCTGGAAAATGAAAAATCTGTTCAGACAGTATTTACTAACCACTGGGGAAAACAGAAAAATCAACTCCCAAAATGTCAAAAGAAATGAACTGAAACCAAACGCCAAACAAAGAAACTTCGGATGCCAAACAAAGGAAAGTTGAAAACACGTACAATAAATGCCTTCAAACAAAATTTATGATCACACTTAGCCTGCACAGAACTGAAATTTGGTAGTAATTTACTACCAAAACTAGTAAGGTTTTTATTTTTTTAGAAGGCATGAAAAATATTGTCTTTTAAAAATACAAATATTGCTGTTTCTTGATGAAGCTTCAGGATGCACCCTTTGTGTTAAAAATGTCCGAACTCTCTCATAAACAAATTACCAAGGATCATGCAGTACTGCAATAATCTAGATGGATTTATACAAACATTAAATGCAACGTGAAGTCATGAAATGTGCCTCAGTCACAGTTCTCTCCATCAGAAACAATACTGGAGCATCCCAGTTCCAGAATAAAACCATTGCTCCTATTTACCTTATCAAAGGGAGAGAAAACGCCCAGTAACATTCACACAAACATAAGCCATCAGTCTTACAGAATAAGGAAATAATTTGCTTACCTGGAACATCAATTAATCTCTTATAAACATTCAAGAAGGCTGCCTCTGCTTCTTTGCTTCGTTTGCCCAGTGCGTCAATCTAAGGGGCAGATGAGAAAACAGGCTTTAAGACTTGTTCCAATACAACTCTTACACTCAGAGCTATAAATATAAATTAACAGATTTCAAGTAAAACCAGTTAATACACAAAAAGGGAACCCGAGTCTCCTGTGTACAGCTCCAACAGAAGCAGCCTTACGAGATTATTCCTGCTACATTTGTACCGAATATAATTCAAAGTCCATTTTCCAGCACAATAACCAGCATCATTTTTTTTATCAACATTTTTATGAACACTCCTGCCTGTTGTGATTCTTGACTTTAAATCTTTATTAAAAGCCTGGTGTTTGCCAGGCTCTCTCTCTCTCCTCAACAACTCTTTTCCTTTACCACTTGGTGAGATCTAACACAGCAAACAGAACCGCGGCCACTTCTCATGTCCCACTCTGCCTTTTTTTGTAGGAAATATATTCTTCTATTATTTCCACTGAGAAGATGGAAAGATGAACTTGATGGGCACCCTGTGGTACTTAACACTAAATAAATGTGAATCTTTTACATGCAAAAAAAGTTTTGTGAGCCAGCTCAGGCACAGACCCGTGGAGTCTGTACTGCCTGCATTCATGAGCCCAATACCAGGCTCCTCTGATCAGCCTCTCTTTGAGTTCTGTAACACACACAAGACTCATCTATGAATTTATTCGTATTATTTTCATCGAATATTTCCACCTAAAACTCCATTTTACAAGGAAAGGCAGCTTAATGGTTCTGAGAATAAAATACTTCTTCCCCGGCAACTTTTTTGTAAACATGTATTTTCCTATTGTACCAGAAAACAGGATTTACAATTACTAAATATTGACAATAAGCAACTAAACTGACTCAAGACCGGATCTATTGAATTAATATTCCAAAGCAGAGAGACAGAAAGGGAAACAGGAAAGCCTGACACAGCTCAGCGCAGCTTACCCAAATCAGGAAACCAAAAGCATGGAGATTATCATTCCCATATTTTAATAATAGGCAAGGAAGGATCTGAAGAACTACGGATACAAAAGGCCTGATATCAATTCTTCTGTGTATTTAAAGATCAGTTAATATTATGGGACCATTTAAAGGTGTGGACGTCACCAGGGCCTAAAAAAGGAAGGTCCTGTCTGAAAAACGTCCTTGAATTCTTTCTCTGCATTATTGATTCGGGAGATAAGGCAGGAACAATGGCCAGAGTTTACTGTATCTGTACGGCAGGAAAGTATCTGATATTTTATTGTACAGGAGGGAGATCTGCAGCGTTAGAGAGCATGTGACCAACCTGTGCCGTGGCTGGGCTTTGCCAGCGCTCTGCCACGGGAAGCGGAGGGTGCCAGGGAGCGGAAGCGGCGCAGGGAGGAGGAGAGATAAGCAGGAGGGTGCTGCGGGGTCAGCTTTGGTGCCACTTCTGTTTACTTTGTACTAAAATGACTCCGTGAAGAGCAGGGAAGGATTTGGGAAGGGAGTGTGGGGGGGGTGTACTGCAATGTGGATGATTAAATTCCGTGGCCAAGTGCAGCGGAGCGCGGGACAGCACGTGACGGGTATAGATCAGCCTCACGGCTCGTAAGTGACTTGTAGAGATCATTACGGGCAGGATTAAGGGCAGAAAACCAAAGGACAAGGACAATTGTACAAATCACACAGGAGCACGATGCACAACCAAGAAAAGGCTTGGAAGGGAGGGGTCAAGGAGGGAAGTAAGGACACGGACAGCACCCACACAGCATTTGGCAGTAGCAGGGAAATCTTGGGAGATATGGTGATAGGTTGGAGGGAGATAAGTTCAGGTAACACAATACAAGGCTGTATTTAGAGAAATAAACCAAGTTTCTGTTTCATTTACATCCCTCCAAAATCTGGATTCATTTATGGAGATTGGTGGAGGTGTACCATAACTGAAACCTGACCTATTTGCAACTATCAATTAGAAAAAAAGAAAGGTATCTGAAAGGTGATAAATGAGCATCAGAGGCCAGAATGGGGGAGGATGTGGAGGGCAGATATAAATTCTCAAGAGCTGCTGGCCATGCTTATCTGTCAGAATTTACCAAGAAAGGCTATGGAAAGGCATTGGAATCTCGCAGGGCACACGACGTGCCGGAGAGCAAGGGATTGATGGTCGTGAATAACCCATTTATTAATTTGAATTCAAGCAATCACAGATGGACTGATGCTCATTAGGGAATGAGAACATAAGTAATTCGGTTGGAACATTTTCACACAAAGCCTATTTGAAAGGAGACCACGGACCAAAGTGCCAAAGGCAGGGAGGCCCCGGGATGTGGAAATCGATGCTGGGGAGTGTCGGGCACCGCTCGGGGACGGGTGCGAAGCAAGGGGCACCACCAGAGAGACTTCAGCAGTTGAGCTGTTTCCTGGGGACGTGGAGACAGACTCTGAAGGCCAAGGAACACCATATGTTCCACTTCTGGACTTTTAACGTTCCCACATACAATTTTCTCTCGCTGCTGCTCAGCAGAGAGCAGCCAAATTTAAATTACTATTATTAAATACAATTAGCATTACAGCACTGATTCTGTACTGTATTTTGAAAATTTCATTTGCCCCTTTTATGAAAGCCAAAGCGTTTAAAGTGCTTCCATTTCTGAGAAATAACAGGATGGATTTGTTTGCCTATTACGGTTTTTCCACATTTTAATAAAGAGCATTTGTACTTATATTCTCCCTAAGTATTATAAAAGGTATGGTTTATTCAGTTCTTACTAGTTATAGAGTGATGGAAATATAAACCAGAATTAAAACAACGTCTTCCAAGGAGATCAGAGACTTTCCAAAGGAAGCAGTTTGTAAATCACAGGTATTTTACATCTTTACCCCCACTCCCAAATTCAGAACCAGAATTCCAAACAATCCCACCAGGCAGAAATATGGTTTTATGTTTTAGGTGTTAAAAAAATAAATCAACCTGTCTGGTTTAAAGTTCTACTATAAATGAGAACTTGCCTCTACTTTATACCTTAAAATAAAATTTAGAAAAAGCACCATGACAGCTTTAACTGGAATGAAAAAATAATTAAGCATGCCAGCACCCAGGTGCGTAAGGAAATAAGGAAATATGGGATGAAAAATGCATTAAAAATAGCAAAATAGAAATGAAGTCCAGAAAGAGAGGAAACAGAGCACTGAAATGACATGGAAGCATTTGGAAGTTCACTGAAAATTTTCTGAATCTAAGTAAAATTGGTTCAGGAGCCAACAAGGCTGAGCTGCAATCAGCTCACATTAAACAGTTGAACTGCATTATAAAACTCTTGCTGAACATTTTTATTTGACTCTAAAAACTTCAGGGACCCTGAAAGAAGTCAACTTATAATTACACTCGCGTTGTCTTGACACGAGCTTAGCTCCAAATCTTAATTTATCTAAACCAGGCCCCATTATGTCTTCTCCAAGCAGAAAGAAACAACAGTGACCTCTGTATTCCCCACCACCCCCATAAACATATGTTCACTTTTAAGTTTTGGCATACTATTTGTCTTGATAATACCACTGGCGCTACAGTGCGATAACAGAACTGAGACACCAGGAATCCTCCCTCCTCATCTCACTCATCTCTGAAACATCCCCGGAGCCACCCGGGGGAAGCCGTGGCGAGACACCGGTCTGAGAGCGCTCCTCCCTTCATCCACCTTGTTTTTTCCAGGTCAAATGCTCCCATGAGTCGTTGCTCGGGGTCTCGAGGTCACGCTGGAGGCTGAGTGACATCCTTCCCCCCTTCCAGAATCATCTCCCTGCTGTGAAAATCTCTGTGATTGTTCCCACTCTTTGCTGCTTGTTGCCCCACACTCCTGGCATGCTCCCCTGGAAGGAAGCACGGGCAGCCTAGCTCAGGAACACCTGGTCCCAGTCCAATATCAACTAGACCTGGCTAAAATCAAAATATCATCAGGGATTCATCTCCACATTTACATAAGCACCATAAATCTGGCACCTGTGTCAGGGAAGGTGCTGAACATGGTTTTATCTGAACGCTGCCTCTTTCTGTTTCAGCTGTGTCCGGTCAAGTTCAAACAGGTAAAAGCTGAGCGCCTATGGCTTTAGTTTGGAGTCTGTCACTCTTTATGCACTAAGAAATTTCAGCATTAACTCAAGTCTGATGCCTACTGCCCCCCAAATCTCCTCTGTGTGGGTCTGCAGAGGTGGTACTGCCTCTGCAGTCAGACAAAGGTTGCATCACTGCATTCCTGAATTTAAGGATGAAACAGGATGATAAAGCTCTTTGCCAGGAAGCTGGGCTGCCAGATGCCAGCACATCCTGCAATGACACTTAAATTCTCTGAACTTAAGAGATATCAGCACATTAACACATTTCAGATCGTGAGAGTGGCACATGCCTTGCTCCTCTCGGATCCACTTGGATCATTCAACATAGCTGAATATTTGGGATGCTGAACTCAGTGTCCCAAAGACAACTCCTTTGTGAGGGGATCCCAGTGCTGTGTCTGTCCAGCGTTACTGTCCAGCATCAGTGATTTACTCACAGTACCATTAACTGCAGATCCACAAACACAGCTATGCTAAATAGGAACTTTGCAGCCTCAACTCTTCCACTTATCCTCATTGTTCTTCAGTTGTAATCCTCACTCTCATTAACCACCTTAACATCAAAGATCTGCCTTTCACTGTCCTGCACACAAAAATAAATGACTTAAAAGAGAAGCTATTTTTCTGTTCTGATTTTTAATAAATAGATGCCTTAAGGAGACACCCATCCCCCTCCCCTTACACATCTTCTCTCGCATTGTTTTGCATCACGAAGTTTTTCCATTTGTCTTCAATTACTTCAAGTTACCGAAATGCCATTAAGAATTGGAAGAAACATATTAAACCAAAGGAAAAGCACAATAACAGCTCATTAAGGCACCATTCTTCTAAGCTGTGCTATATCCTTGAATTGCTGCCTTGGAATCAAATGGTGGCTGTAGCAAGTTTATTAATGCTGTGCAATGGCACCACCAGTCTTGCTTTGAAGCCTTTACAATAGAG